GCACTAATTTATTTTTCCTCTTCCCTCAGAGTCGCTCTCCTCTGAGTCTCACGTCAGGGCTTTGATCTCGCACTCTGAGCTAACACTCCAGGTGGGGGGGTGGGGGGGCGGAGGGGGAAGGGAAGGGAGTGGAGAAGGTGCTGTCTTACGGATGGGACGTTAAGCCAAGGCCCACACTGGCCTGCTCAGGTGGATGTTAAAGATCCCACTTGAAAAGTGGAGGGAGTTTCTCCCGGTGTCGCGAGAGAGTGCCGTGTTTGGCAATATTCCCTCTGTCTGGTGAAGAGTTGCCTCCGTGCGTCTATTAACCCACGAAATATACAGTCAATCCACTTTACGGTATATTCTGTGAAGCGCTTTGAGACGTCTCGAAGATATGATAAGGCGCCGTATTATTATTATTATTATTATTATCATTATTATTAAATTATGAACGGACGTTGCGAATTTCCACCCAGCGGTGCTGGTGACTAACAGCAGTGCTCCTGACAGTGCGTGGTGGAATGAGCAATCAAGACATTTAATTGACGCTGGAAGCCACATGAAGCAGGAAATGTGGATTTAACCTGGTGTTGTTTAATCAGGCTCCAGCCTGCCAGAGCGTACGGAGAGCATTGTTTTGGACTGCGGCTTCAGCTCCGGAATTCACCGTGTGGACCCGTGTGGAGAGAGGGGTTTGAGAGGGGACACAGGCATAAGGGCAGAAGGCTGTAGCGTTGTGAGACGTTAAACCGTGTCCAATAACGCTCATTCAGGCAGACGTTTAAGATCCCGCGCGCGGGCGCCACTCAGAAAGTGGAGGGCGTCCTGATGTCCTGGCCGGCAGATAAAATCCGTCATTCGCTTCCAAGGTTATTTGTGAGACCCTGCAATGTGCGCAAATCGGCGGCCACATTCGCCTATCAAACACACAGTCACTACGCTTACTAATGAATTCCCATGAAGATCTTCGAGATGACCTCCTGAGGTGATAGGGCGCTGGATTAAATGCGAGCTTTATTATTCTATAGGGCTAAGTGGATATAGAGTTATATATAAAGAGATCTAAATACGACATATATATAAAAAAATAAGAAGCCATGCATGAGACGAGAACATTTTTCGTAGGATTTCTCTTCGACTGAGTATTGGAAAGATCAGGCAAATGCAGACTGGATCTTGGCCTGCTCACTTTAATAAATAAATCATATTTCCTGCTCTTGATGTAGCACTCATCACGTCGAAACATCTTCGCAGGGAATTGCTGTCAACGGCAGCGCATGTATTTTGTGGATAAATGTAGCAGCCCATTTGCACGTAGCAATGCCCCACAAACAGGAATGAAGTGAATGACCAATTTTATCTCAAGGGTTTTCAGCCTGGTTATCGGGAGAGTGAAACTATCTTCTCTGTTCTCACAGCATCATGGAATCTTTGACATCTCCCCGAAAGGCACAGGGGGTAATCATCCTTATAATAAAAATAAAGTGTGGTCACTCAATCTGCGAGAGAGTTCGTGGAACACTGCTATGCGCCGTTGGCTGCTGCGTGTCACAGTCAATCCAGTTTAAAATATAATCCGTGAGGCGCTTTGAGACGTCTCAGTGATGTGATCAGGCGCTATAGCACGTGCGAGGATTATTATTATGGACGGGGCCTCGCCTTAACGTCTCATCTGAAGGAGGGAGAAAGGAAAGAGGAGAAAATCTGAAAGATAATTTTATTTAATTTTCAGAAAAAAAGCAGAACAGAACATTGTGTAGCGGACACAGTCACTTCAGATTTCACTCACTGCTGTTTATATACTTGGTGAGAGAACAGCTGATGCATACATGATTGATATTCTACAATCTCTCATATATATTATTTCTGCCGTTTGAAATCTCTGCCTGAGATTGATTTTTTTTCGCACTCCATTCAACAACAACAACAACAACAACAACATTATGTTTGCACAGTGGCTTTCACGTCGGGAGGGCGTCCCATGGCCCGAGACAATCAGTGCTTTGGACCCGAGCTGGAGGTCGGGATGGGGCAGGGTGAATGGCAGTGGGGGGGTGGGGGGAAGGAGGGTGACGGAAGGCACGGTCGAAGAGGAGGGTCTTGAGGCGGGTCTTGAAGGAGGCAAGGGTGGGGCGCGAGGCGGAGGGACTGCGGGATGGAGTTCAGGAGGTCGCAGAGGTAGGTGGGAGCAAGGCTTTGGAGGGCTTTGAAGGTGAGGACCAGGATCTTGAGAGCAGAAGCAGGAACGCTGACTGTTTCTTGGGTCCCATTCTCAGGCGACAACTTGAAGCTCACAGTCTGAGCTGCTGCCGCGGTATTTTGGGTGGGGCGCTGCATTGTCAGAGGTGCTGTCCTTCAGACGACATATTGAACCAACACCCTTCACGTGGACATTAAAGATCCTACGGCGATATTCAAATAAGTCAATTCCTCCAGGTGTCCTGGCCAACCATCCTCCAGAGAGAACTCATCATTGGCTGCCTGCGGGGACGTTGCTGTGCGCAAATTGGCTGCCGCG